TAAATTATAGCACTTAAATTACATCACTAGACTCTTTTGAGACCAGTAAACAAATGACCCTACATGACATGTTTATATAGCAAAATGTGCTTTTTTAAAGGGACAAACTCCTCACAGGTGAAATGCTAACTTCAATGGTGTTGCCAAGTTAGTTCAGGTCATATGTTTCAAAGCATGTCTACACTCAACTTGCCCATTTTCATGGAATAAGCCCATCCAGAAAATGAATGTTTGTGGAGGTGTAGATGGGAAGTTAGCTCAAATGGTTTACAAGGGGAAAACCTCTAACCACTGCAACTCTTCCTTTACTCACCTGGAATACATTCTGATGCCAGTTTTACTCGCATGCTAATCAAATTTTAAGGAGCCAAGTGTGGGTGATGTTCAGATCATTTAGTACTTTATACCTTATAACGCAACTGAAACAATTCAGAGCTTTCCCAGAAAACAAAGGGTTTCACTGAAAAAACAGTACCAAAGTAGCAATTAGCTGGCTTTCTCAGAAGGGAGACAGGGAGAACAAGGAGGGATTGTGGGGTGATTTGATGGCACAGCCCCTCAGAAGAGCTTTGGATTGACAAGAAGAGAAAAGAAAGGGAATAGGTGCTGCAGAGCTGAAAAAAGATGTAGGAGAATAGGGTTAGACTACAGAAGAAGGGGAATTATTAGCGATCCTTCCACTTGCACTCTGACTGATGGAGAAGAGGGAATGTTCTCAGGATATAAGCTGGGCATCAGCCAGGAGCTGCCATAATTTGGGGGAGGCAATTGTCTTTAGGGTACTGTAAATATCATCTTTAGGGCTCAGAATGTACAGAGGATGTACAGTGAGGCTTTGATAGAGTAGTTACACTACCCAGAAGTCCAACACTGATGAATAGCAGAATGGGGCCACACCTTTCTCCCTCCCCCCTTCTTGCCTGAATTCCTATTCCTCCTCCTTACCATTTACAAGAACGGATTGGGATCAAAGGCTGCATATAGCTTTAGGGTGCAGGTTATCCATCTGCATCCTAGGTTAGGGTAGCCAGCATGATGCCCCCCAAATGTTGTGGCACTACAACACCCATCATTCCTTGCCACCATGGCCAAAGGCCTATTCTAGGCAAAGGGGGGGGGGGCAATGAGTTGAAATCACAAGCCAAAATATGGATGGCAGACAATCTTTTGAGAAGTCGCATTTGAAACAGCAACTTTTCAAACATTGAACCTTGACACAAATCAATATCTGAGCTCCTACCATGTCCACAAGTGAACAAAAATGACTTTTGCAGAACATCTTTCATTATACGAAATCCACAGATAGAATAAGTTCTGAAGAGTCCAAGGGTGAGAACTAGATCCAGATTTTTATTTTGTTATTCTGTCTGCCCTTAAAACAGCAACATCAAAGAACCAATAGCATCATTAATTCCATTGCTAGAGACTGAACAGAGCAGACACTAACCAGGAAGTCTCTAGTCCATTACCCATGGCCTTCCTGACAGCTTGGCTCCAGATGCAGTAATCTGTATCTTAATCCTGCATACAGTTAGGCTGCTCAAATTCAATAAGTTTCATTGGTCTGTGTGTGGAATCACTGCAGTTGGGAACATGCATTTCAGTCAATTTTATGGCACTCCTGGGATAAGCAAATACAACACACACAAATTTACATAGTATCATACAACTAAGCTTGAGGAAGTTTAATTACAAAACTGCATTTTAATTGATTACCAGTGGAATAAACTACAACAGTGCCATTCTGAGAAATGGTGGCCGGTACACATTTATCCACGGAGGCTATTTCCCCCTGCTCAAACAGAATAATGGTTTAACTGCAATAAATCTAGACCTGCAATTGAGAACATTGATGTGTGTGCATATTGCTTTTTTAAAAATAATAATAATACAAGGCAATTTTAGAGCTGAAAAGTAAGGTTCCAGTGTGTTGTACAAGGAAATGAAAGAAAATATCATAACAAATTTATCATTTCATCATCATCATCATCTCTATTGCTTATAGGAGCACTGCAACTTCTACAACTAACATTACTAATATAGTAATAACAACAATAACAACATGATTGCATGACCTTGGTAGTTTCAAATAGAGAGGAAAATGTGTGATTGGTATATAAAGTCATCTTACCAAAATGGAAAGGGATCAAACAACCATCTGCTCTACTGCCCTGGCCTAAGGTTGCAGTACACTAACTCCAGCAGCCTATCCTATCCAGAGCACAGGGCACCGAACTAAATAGCAGGTACACTGTACTGACCAACGTGCACCCAGATTTCAGCTGACACCTAAAGAGACTTTTTAAGGCAAATGTCGAGGCTCCTGCATGAGTAAGATATCTGAAGATTGTCATGGGAAGCAAAAAGTGTTCTTATTAAGGCTACCAAAATTTGTAGAAAAAGAAAAAAGAAGGCTCCACATAATAAGTGCAGGTGTCTAAACAAATCATACTGCAGCTCTTCCACCATCCATGAAACTTCTAGTTCTACTCAGCAAGGACCACCATAAAGGAAGAGGGGAGTTGTAGTCCAATATCTGGAGGGCATTTGGCTGGGGAAGGCTGCTTCATACATTGACCCAACTATGCCCCATTGTTTCATGTTATTAGGATAGAGCCAAACGTTATCTAGTAAACATTTTCGGTGAGAAGCTTAGGGCTGTTAGAGAATCCAAACTGCTCCTATTTTGCATCTATTGACTTGTGTCCACAGTACAACCTGGTTGCTGCTTCAGCACTAGCTTTCAGTCTTAACAGTCCAACTACCCCCTCCCCTTTACCCAGAGGCAATCAGATTTGGCTATGTGATGACATAATGAGGACAAATGAAGCTAACAGGACACATTGGGGAAGCATTGCCCTTACTTTGAATTGTCCTCATTGGTGTCATTTACATAGTCATATCTGATGATGATGCCACTGTTCCTCAGATGATGGTGGCTGATTTGAAGGGGGGAAATAGGTACCGAAATTGAATTTCATTAGGGTGAAGAATAAACTGATTATCACCACCTGAATGACCCACATTGGGGCAGGAAGACAGAACTACCCGAGACTGTCTTAGCAGAACCTCCTGTGCAGAATTGGCAGGGAGGGTAAACTTTCCCTAAACCTCCTGGGGGGAAATAAGTCACCAAAAAGGGAGTTACATGTGATGAGTAAAGAAAATGTTCATAAACATACCTCCAAGTTTTGGCTCAGCCATATCTGTTCACATCTTACAACCCTAATTTACTTATTGTATATCCATCCAGAGTGAGCTCAGGGTGGATCACAACAAAGCAAAATACATTGACCAAAAATAAAGCATGCAATTAAAACAGATTATTAAAACGTATTTCATTTTTCACAATGGAGTCCCTATATTAACTTGAAATACTTTCTAGAAGAAGATGGTCTTTAGCTAGTGCTGAAAGATAGATAAACTCAGCGCCAGCCAAAGCTCAGAAGGGAAGAGGGTGCTGAAAGCTATTGCTTAGAAGGCCCTCTGGTGGGCCATAGATCCCCTGTCTCTTTATACCAATAGCTGCTAGCTATGATGGAGACAATGCTCTGCACCCCTGGTCAGAGGCAGTATGTTTCTGAATACCAGTTGTTGGAAACCACAGAAGAGCAGAGTGATTTGTGCTCAAGTCCTGCTTGTAAGTTTCCTGCAGGCATCTGGTGAGAACAGGATGCTGGACCAAAAGGGCTATTGGCCTGATCCAGTGGGGCTCATCTTGTTGTTTAGTCGTTTAGTCATGTCCGACTCTTATGTTTTTAATAAATGATGGTATTTCCCCAGCTGATGCCAAAGTCTGGGTAGGATGATACGTTTCCTTTTGTTAATGTTAACTTGTGACCCAAATCAGTGATCCAAAAAACAACAAACCCGTCTACTCATCCTGATCAATTTCCTCTCGGCTGATAAAAGGTACAAGATACCAATGCCACTTATATTTTGTGGGTATATATAAGTCCTCTTGCCAATACAGTGGTACCTCAGGTTAAGAACTTAATTCATTCTGGAGGTCCGTTCTTAACCTGAAACTGTTCTTAATCTGAGGTACCAGTTTAGCTAATGGGGGCTCCTGCTGCCACCACGCGATTTCTGATCTCATCCAGAAGCAAACTTCTTAACCCGAGGTACTATTTCTGGGTTAGCAGAGTCTGTAACCTGAAGCGTCTGTAACCTGAAGCATCTGTAACCCGAGGTACCACTGTAAAGTTAGGGGTTTTTGTTTTTTACACAATTAGCTTCATGCAATTTGCATACAGTTTTCTAAGTAAATATAATTGAATGAACATAATTCTATGTTCATTCAGTAAAAACAACAGAAGCAACACTACAAGTACCTGTATTATCATCTGCATCTTCCGAAGTGACATGCCATGGCGGATGATGCATTTACAAACAGATTTCCAGATTATGGTTGCTATTGCCAAGTTCAGCTCAGTATCAGGGACAGTCCAACCATTAGACGAGGCTGCTGCCTCAGGTGGCGGAAGCACCCAAGGTGGCACCTCCGCTGCTGGTGGAGAAGTGCCACTGGCATCAATCTAGGGTGAGATCTTACCAAAATCACAAAAGATCTGGTGTGATTTTGGTGAGATCTTGCTGGAAGCCAGCGAGATCTCCCCCCAGTGCAATGCCAATGTCCACACCACTTCTCTGCCATTGGACGGTGAAGGCAGTGGCGGCAGCAGGGCAGGATGGCACTTCCTGTTTCAGCTCAAGTGGTGAAAGGGTACATCCTGCTAGAAATGGTATGTGTGAGCCATGTGTCTGTTGATAAGAGGTTGGTGGATGAATACCTGCAAGTGACTGAGTCCAATACATTGTGGAATAGCATTCTGGCTACCAACAGCATGAACATTATGCTCCACAAGTGAGGCCTGCAATAAAGTGTTCCAGCATGGAGTGTTGCTAATCAGGTTTCCACCACCACCACTACCCATTCCATTCTACTTCATGTTATTTTCCCACGTCCACCACCAATGGCAACAGTTAGTCAGCATACCGCTTCTGGGATAGCTCAGTTGGTAAGATCATGAGATTCTTGATCTCAGGGTTGTGTGTTCAAGCTCCACCTTGGGCAAAAGAATCCTGCATTGCAGGGGGTTGAATGAGAGGACCCTCATAGTCCCTTCCAACTCTACAATTCTGTGATTCCATGGATACTGAGCACACTTGGTCCTCACTGGGCTGTTTGTGCAGTCTCACCTTGTTTTTTTCTTTCTAGAGCTTCTCACCCACCCCTTTGTAAACACTGAGGTTTCACCTACCCTGATGATACCTTCCTCTCTAGAGCATATGTTGTGCTGCTTCAAAAAGCATGGCAGAAAGAGACTGAGCACTGGGAATGGAGGGAATGAAAACCAATTCTATTTCCTCTTAGAGAGGAAACAGAAAAGCTAAGTGCTCTGGTTTTGCTACTCCTGCTCTTACAAGCTAAATCTAACTTGTTCACATCCTACATTTTCACATACTGCCATTTCCCATAGGTTTTATTTTCTCATTTACTGTTTCATTTACTATCTACTATGATGCCCCTCCATTTTGACTGTTTGGGGATTAGGTCTGCTGTGGCTGGCATGTTCAGTTGTGGTGTTTTCCACAGCTGAATTCTTAATATTCCTAATGTAAAAAAACAACAACACAGTTCATTAATCTAGTTGGCTGTTTTTTTGTTTCACAACAAAAATGTTTTGGGTGGTGATATGGCTTTTGGTGATAGGTCTTTCCCTAGAGAAGCATGCAACTGTCTCTGAAATCCAGATATTAGCACAAGTAAAGATGTGCCTTTAATTTGTTTTCCTTCTGAGCAGCCCCCTATAAAGGGTATATAACATAAACAAAGAATGTGCTCACCATAACAGACTTTTTTCTTTTTTTAAAGGGCTAACATTAACACAACTGTTGAAAGGCACCCAGTAAATTTTCATAAGCCTGCATTGTTAAAGGAAAAATGCATGAAAGCAACATTGCTATATATTTGTATTTATCATGGGGTTTTTACCTTTCAAATTGCTTTAATGTTGAGGGGAAGACAAATGCTTTCTATAACAATTTAATTTCAAACGTGACCCATTTCCTAGGAGGTAGCTGTCAATATTGTTGCAGAAGCACCCAAGATTTAAATGCATCATATATAGCCTGCTTATTATTGCTTTATATCACCAAAGATGATGCCATGGCAACCATGCAACAGTCAGTCATTGCATCTGGCTTATTGCCTGTCAGCACCGGGTCTCAGTTCCACTGTATGTGACTCCTAGTTCTATTTCAATATTACCTGCTAGATGGCAGTGGATGACTTTTTACTTTGTGCACCACTGGTGGTTGGGGGATTTTCCTTGCAAAACTCCTGTCACATGTGGCACATGTGGACAAAGAAAATACATTTTCACAAGATGCTTCAAGATAACTGTTTTAAATGGAATAACTTTAGTTTGGTTTAAAAATCTTTACATTTTAATGTTTGATATTCTATATTTGTATAGTAAAGTACCCTGGGATCTCTAAGATGAAGCATGGCTTAGAAATCACATTAAATAAATAAAACTCCATTTTGGTGCCACTAGTCTCAAGAACCACACACAAACACACATACACACATACTTTTAGAGTCTTGCTTGTCATGCCGACTCTAAACCATGGGTAGGCAAACTAAGGCCCGGGGGCCGGATCTGGCCCAGTCGCCTTCTAAATCCGGCCTGCGGATGGTCCGGGAATCAGTGTGTTTTTATATGAGTAGAATGTGTGCTTTTATTTAAAATGCATCTCTGGGTTATTTGTGGGGCATAGGAATTCGTTCATTCCCCCCCCCAAAAAAAATATAATCCGCTCCCCCCAAAAGGTCTGAGGGACAGTGGACCGGCCCCCTGCTGAAAAAATTTGCTGACCCCTGCTCTAAACTTTCACTTTACAGCAATGATTGCCAGCTACCACCATCGGGCTTTTAACCAAAAACAGATCCAATAGCAATCGTTGTTTCTGGCGATTAACTACCGGTAGTTTCTGCCCTCCAGATTTTGCCTTGTGGTTCCCAAACCCACTGTGGGAGTGAAGGAGCAAGAGAAGCACTTTCACAAAGAGATTAGAGATCAAAAGGGAGGATTGTAAGATTTTAACCCCCTCTATTCCCTCAATTCTGCAAATGGCCTTGAGAGGCTATTTTGCCTTCCAAGACAGGCTCACTGCTGACTCCAGTTTTTTGGGGGTAGGGGATACCCTCATATTTTCAGGGGATAACTTACAGGTGGTGAAAGGGTTAGAGGCTCCATTCCAACCTACCAATTTATCTCTGCAAGTGCTGCTCATCCCCCACATTAGTCTTACAAGAACTAATGGGGAACACACACACCATTTTGATTGCATTACTGCCAGTTCTGTCCTAAGGCACCACGCAATAACTTTATCAGAAGAGCCACCTACTTTACGAATAGCTGAAAATATCAGTGGCAGGGCATCTGAGGACAAAGGTAGCTCATGATACCAAAAAAAAAAAAAAAAAAAAGCCCAAACGCAACCAAGAGCGTGTTGTGCATCTCCATGGAAACAAACAATCTTTATAAGAATATTTACATCACATTATGAATAGAAAGAGCCCACCAAAGCAATCAGCACTCATATAAATGCTGAAAATGAATAATTGTGGGTTTCTCCAACACAATCAGTGGTTATAAGAAAAGTGATATAAGAAAGGACGACCATTTTTAGTACAATTTTTAAGAGGTACAGGTGTAGTACTCCATGATTAGCTTTGTTACTGAAAGCACAGCTTGCCTACAATCTGCAGAGAACAAAATGATGGAAGATTCTGATTTACTAAAACACTGATAATTAATTGCAACTGCAATCAAATAGGTTTGCAATTGGATGCAATTGCCATTAGGACACAGTGTTTTACAAAAAGCCAATCTCCAATATAAGCTAGTCAAAAAGTGTTGTTCCGTTGGGACCGGGGGGTGGGGGGGTGGGAGATGGTTTGCTTGCAGTTTCCATTGCAAACATAATCTCAATTCTGTGTGGATTAACTCAACTCAAGTAGAGACATGAAACTGGCAAACCACAGGGCTGGGCGGGATCTCCTGGACCTATCAAGCCAAATGAACAATGATATTATATGACCCTCGACACCTTAGGATATTGTAAACTCAGATGCTGACACAGTTAGTTAAGCTCAGAAAGTCAAACTGTTTTTGAACAAAAGGATGGAAGGGCAGAATGTTTCATTCTGAGATTTGTCAGACTCTTGTTGTCAGAGATAAAATATCCTGCTTAATATCTGTAGTTAATTGTCCAAGTCATTATCAGCTTTCCAACAGCAGCACATTCCTCTGAGTTTGTCTAGTTTTGATGCTATTCAGTGGTTTTCTGCATCCAGTAAATCAAATCCTCAGTTCAGTCCATCAATATAGCATAGCCTCCATCCATTCAACAGAACTAGATCTGTTCTGGACCCATATTCTGATTCATCTTCTCACCTTGATGCCACACTTCTCTGAGTCCTTTGTGTTCTGCTATTTATAATAGCCACAGTCTAAATCCACCATTTGCACACACGATCCTTTACTAACAACATGTCAAAACTACAACTCTAAACATAATAATGATTCTAGTCTGGTTGGTGGAAGGGAGCCTTGGGATTATTCATGTCAGGAACAAGGTAAAGGCTTCTACATCAGACCAAATTTGTTATAAAAACTGGGTCTCACATATGTGTAACCGACAGCAGGAAACTGAGCTAAATCAACCCCTTTTTGTGCATATAGCAGCATATATTTACAAAGACCAAAATCTGACAGCAATCCTATTTTAATGGAGAAGGCTTTGTTTTCTGTGTTTCTTTTATGCCTCTTCATGGCTAATCAACTTGGTTGGGCTTCCGCCCTGCTAATATCATATGAAGTCCTCCACCATGCTGATTTCTGGAGAGATGTCCCACAAAACCTATGAAAAGCTTTGCATTTTTTTAAAAAAATATTAATCTGAGAAACCTTTTAACAGCTCTGGGTAAAAGTCTAAGAAGAACTGCTTCAGCTCAGACCTCTCACCTTGGTTTCATTGCTAACTTTCGATCTGAGCTTTGACTGCACTTCCAGCCAATGTCAGATAACTGTTGGTTACTTAAAAAAAGAAAAGAATGCTGTGCGATTAAGTTATAGCTATCAAAATACAGTACATAAAATAATTCCTTTTCTGTTCTGTATGTATCGCACACTTGGGTTATGACAAATCCGTAACGATGGGTGGGGGAACTAAGAGAGGAATGGTGGGAACAATAGGAGAAGGAGAAGGAAGAGGAATAATCATAACTTGGGGAGTGGAACTCTGTTAGAGATCTCACCATACAGACCTTGATAAAGTGTTTTAATTTTAAAGCAACAGCCTCTGCAATGGTGAACTAGATGGGAAAGGCAGAAAAAAGATGGGGGGGGAGAGGGGGGGCTTGTAGAGAGAGCCACTACTTACAGGTGTAGGTCATTTCAAAGCTGTCACTAATATTCACAATGTCAATCTGAGGAGCCAGCTTGGGGGGCTCTGTGAACTGAGACAACGCAAACATAAAAGCAGCATGTTCCTGGGATTGTTGAGTAGGAAATAATCCCCCTGGAGAAAAACAGAAAAGAGGTTGGAAACTAATCAGCAGTGAAACATTAAGTGACAATGGCATTATTATGACCACACTTCAGCATGTAAGCAAACACCACTTTGCTAGTAGAGTGGCAAAAACTTTTCTCCAGACACGTTTCCAGAAAGGTAGCCATGTCAGACAGTGTCTGCTAGCAAAAAGAACAAAGAATCCTCTTGTGCCTTAAAGACTGACAAATGCATTTGGACATGATCTTTCAGGATCCTGTGCAGTCTGACCATTACACAAACACAAAACACACCACCAGATCCCAAATATGATCGTAAACAAAGAGTGAATCAGGGCTATGGAGAATGGGGAGGGTGTGGGGGGGTCATTTCTGTGGGCTTCATTTCCTGTAAGGGTTAAAAAGGAGCTGGTCAAATACAGGAATGAGAATCTCCACCCCCTTTTCATCCAAGGGAGACTCCTTCCCCCCCATCCCCCTTACACCAGATCTGAATCTGCTACATTTGCCCACACAGAGCAGATGTTTACTCAACAAGTTGTTGGAGAACTAAGAGGAGATGAACAAAGGAAAACGAATCCTGCATTATCCAGGCAGCACCTTTCTTTGGACAATGGGGCCTGGGGAGTGGCCAAATAACTGTTACAAATAAATTAAGCCACACTGTATCACGAGTGGTGTTAGCTGTACCAAGGGGTGTAATCAGGTAACAAGAAGACCTCGCAGAAACCTGGGTGCCACAAGGTCTGCTTATTACTGAATTTATTTAGTTTCCCATCTTAGAAATGCAGGGTAGAGCAACTGCCCAAATGGCTCCAAGCGTGCTGCTGACAGTGGCTTAATTGTAGCTAAATGTGCAATTAGACCTCTGAATCCGGTTTCGGCACTTTGGGGGTCCATTTGAGTTTTGACAGCAATGTAAATCGAGTGTGACATCCCTAAGGTGCAGATGTGCAAACGAGGCAGAGACAAGAGTCAGTGGCGGGATGGAGCAGAGCATCATACGGATGATCACCGTCGTCAATATTATTCATCGCTGTCACACTTTAATTCAGCAAAGAAAGCAAAAGCAGGAAGCGCAGCCTCCAACGAATAATAGCAGGATACTTTCTGCACGTTCAGCAGCATGCACGATTTCTGGATTTGTTTTGTTTTTTCGTGGAAAGGCTTATTTTTGCACCAGGAAAACAAACAAATAAAAAACACTAAACCCACACTTCGGCGCCTGTGGTTGCTAAGGAGGGGGCTAGAAATGGCAGCCTGCTAATTTTGCAGGTTCGTTTTGTGTTTCCCCGAAGAAATCTGGGGAAGGAGGATGCCGGCGAGGGAACGTTAAAACTGCAATAAAAGCGCCAATTCTGCAAGTAAGGCTATCCCATGAGTTTCTCTACCCCCCCGCCCTTACTGTGAGGGTAAGCCAGGAATTGGCATTGCAAAGAGACATAAGGGCAAGGAGGGAGACTGTTCTCCGAAGCAAATACTATCAATTATGTATTTGGGGTGGGGGAGAGAAGCTGCCTGCTGATTGAATGGGGGGGGGGGCGAAATGAATGAAAGGTATATCGCTGATGCTTGGGAAGGTGGGGGGGGCGGGAAACAAGTGGATGCATGGAATGGAAGGAGCCTGAGTGCAACACCTTCCTGGCGTTGTTCTGCTTTTGTTTCAGCGCAACAACAAAGACTGGTTTCTCCCCGAGGCTATCTCTTTACTTACGGACAGTAGAAACCATTCCCCACTCCCCCAAACAAAAGGATGGCCAAAGAATGCAAAGTGCCCCGGTCTACCCTTCCCCAAATGAAATGCTGAGTCCCAGATTTAGGAGGAGAGAGAAATTGTTTGCTTCCTCCATTTCGGAAGCAGGCATGTGCAGGCATGTCCCCCACCCACTAAGAAGGAGAGATCCATCCCGTATCAATATCTATTTTTTTCCCGATCCCCCAATTCTATAGCAAATCCACCCCATGCATGGGCCAGACCCCCATTCTTTCTTTGCGAGAGGAGGCGGTGGATGGGCTAGATTTAACACACACACACACACACACAAATACACAGACAGAACCATCCAGGAAAATGCGTTCGCTCCAGAATGGGCAACCTTTTCACACTCACCTATCTGGATGTTGCTGGGGAAATTGACCCCCAACACTGCCCCTAGGAAACTGGTGCAGAAGAAGGCAAAAATGTGCTGCATATTCCCTTTTGCATTGGCGAGAAAGAAGCCCAGGTCCAAGCATAGATTTGGTAGTTCCCCCCTTCTGGTTTTCTTCCTTGCTTTCTTTCTTTCTTCCTTTTTCCTTTTCCTCTCCCCCCTTTCGGTCCTCACTTCCTTCTATACTGCCGTGTGTCTCTTTCTCCTGGAATCCAGCGCTTAGATCGTTGCCTTAACGCCAACTGACAGCAGGATTAACTGAGCTCTGAGAGAGAGAGGAAGAGAGAGAGAAACCCTTTCTCATCCACAGCCCCCCTCCTCTCTCTCTCTCTCTCTCTCTCTCTCTCTCTCTCACTCACTCATACACATGCATGCACACACAGTCTTCTCTCTCTCTCTCTCTCTCTCTCTCTCTCTCTCTCTCTCTCTCACACACACACACACACACTGTACTCTCTCTCCTCCTGCTCATTTCCCTCTCATTGTTTTACTGTCCACCCCACTTTTTTTTGGCAGCCTCTTTCCTGAGGGTCCCCTCCTTCACCACGTGCTGTTTCCCATAGAAACATCGGAAGCTGCCTCAGACTATTGATCCAGCTCTGCCAGGCATTGTCGACACCGGCTGCCCGCGGCTCTCCAGACAGGGCTCTTTCCCCAGCATTGCCCGGAGACCCTGGGCATCCAACTTGGGGTGCTCTAACCACTGAGCCCCACCACCTTTTCTCATAACACCAACCGCCTTCCCTCCACATTCTTTCGGCAGGTCCTGGCTGGGACAGCCTCTCTGCCAGCCGGTCCCTGAGCGGCAAACTCCAGCCGAGAAAGGGCTCTGCTCTTTAGTCACAGATCAATAGGTCCTCGGGCGGGGTTGCTCGGCTCTTGGGATCCAAGGGCTGCGAAGCACCAAGTCGCTCGCTACAGTCCAGATCATTAAGACAATGATGGGTAAGATGGAAACAAATGGCTCTCCAGAGAGGAAGGTGAAGGGGGGGGGAGGCAAAAGGAGAGGCTGACATTCGTCTTTTCCCTTTCCAGCTGAGTTTTCTCCCACCTGTCATCATTAACCTGCTTGTCCCATTTTGCCTTCCTGAAGATGTGTTTTGTTCCTGCCCTCAACGGAAAGGAATCCAGGCTAAAGAGGGCAGCACAAAGGCTAGAAGTTTACATACCTTAGGCTTATTAATGAGAGGTGTGTGTGTGTGTCTCTGTGTGTTTGTGTGCGAGAGAGAGATGATGAGGAGAAGGTTCGGGCTCTCTTACAGCGAACAGCTTTCCTTCCCACTCTCGCCACATCTCTTCTGGGATTTAAAACATTTAGGGCACAGGCATTCGTTTTGTAAATGCAAATCCACTGCAACGGAGGAGGGCACAGTTCAATCGCTGTTATTTATTCTTTGTATATACTACAGTAGCAACCAGGCAAGCCGGCCTAGAGCAGGATCCTCCAAGCAGCTCAATCCTGTGCTTGACTTGCCTAGCAAAAATATATAAATGCTGCAGCTGCACCAGCATTTCTATTGGCATACTCATCAACCAGTCAACCAATCCTGGCTTTTGTATCTATACAGTCTCGTTTTCTGCAAAACCAAAACATCGCCTGCTGCAACAGCAAACTAAAAAGACAGGAGTTAAATGCATGCCCACCGACCCATCCACCCTGCTCTTCTATGTTTCAAGGGACCTCAGCATGGCTCAATGCACATGAAAACACAGGAAGAGCCTGCTGGATCAGGCCAATGGTCCAATGGTCCGGCACCCTGTTCTCACAATAGTGCCTGTGAAAAACCCTCATTGCAGGACCTGAATGCAAGAGCATAGCTCTCATTGCTAGGAAAGAATGAAGCAGGGTTGATGCTTAATAGGTGGGATAACCAGAGGAAGGAGGCAAGTTAGGATCCCACCACAATAGTGCCTCTGGGAATATATAGCTGAATGATTGCCATTCACTTATGTTGGGAAATTGGGATATTGTTGCCCTGAAAGGAAAACCTGCAGTCCCGTGGACACTCGTGGTCTGGCCCTCACTAATGCAATTTGTCCTTCTCTGCCATGTGCAGAGCAAACAAGTGTACTGCCCCCTCCTTGGGGGGGGGGAGCATTCCACAAGGAGGGAGCCACCACAGAAAAGGCCCATTCATGTGTGGCTACCCTTTGGACCTCTTACAGAGAAGGCACATGAAGAAGGGCCTCAGATGATGAGGGTAGGTTCATATGGAGAGAGGCGGACCTTGAAGTACTACTACTACTACTACTACTACTAATAATAATAATAATAATGTGCAGCCCATCTGACTAGGTTTCCCCAGCCACTCTGGGCGGCTTTCCAACAAAATATTAAAAACACAATAAAACATCAAACATTAAAAACTTCCCTAAAAAGGATGTCTTCTAAATGTCAGATAGTTGTTTATTTCTTTGACATCTGATGGGTGGGTGTTCCACAGGTGCCACTACCAAGAAGGCCCTCTGCCTGGTTCCCTGTAACCTCACTTCTCACAGTGAGGGAACAGCCAGAAGGCCCTTGGAGCTGGACCTCAGTGTCTAGGATGAACAACAGAGGTGGAGATGCTCCTTTAGGTATCCTGGGCTGAGGCCATTTAGGGCTTTAAAGGTCAGCACCAACACTTTGAATTGTGCTCGGAAACATACTGGGAGCCAGTGTAGGTCTTTCAGGACCAGGGTTATGTGGTCTTGGCGGCCACTCCCAGTCACCAGTCTAGCTGCCTCATTCTGGATTACTTGTAGTTTCTGGGTCACCTGCAAAGGTAGCCCCATGTAGAGCACATTGCAGTAACCAGAGCATGCACCACTCTGGCAAGATAGTCCATGGGCAGGTAGGGTCTCAGCCAGTACCAGATGGAGCTGGCAGACAACTGCCCTTTACACAGAATTGTGGTTTTGAGTTCAGAGTCAGAGTTGTGTGCGTGAGTTTGGGCTGATGTGGGAAGCTGGAGAAACAGAGGCATGCCTGCTCTGTGCTGGATCCAGAACTATGAGGAAGCAACACCTGTTGGGAGTTAATGCATCCATTCTATGCTCAGGTTGCATATATATGCTACTAAAACCCTATATTCAAAAGACACAACAGTCTCCATTGACCTTTGTTCCAAGGAAACTGAACCCTGGGTAAGCACTGGAATCCCTGGAGTCTCTTGCCACTCAAAATTAGGGTGCATGAAACAATATATTCCCATAGAAAAGATGCATCTGCTTCTTCTCACTTAAGCAGCAGGAATTTCCAAAGTTCCTATAGCAGTAAATAAATAGTAGATTTCACCTCTATTCTGCATAGCCAAGGGAGGAGGGGTGATCAATTCCTACCTTCAGGACTGAGCTAGTGGTCAAAACACTAGAGTGTGCCTGGTAAAACCAGAATCCTTAAAAAAACAACTCCTTTCTCCATGATAGGCATCTCTGAAATAAAGATTCATTCAAGACATCCTTGATTTGAATTCTGCAAGGCAGACAAATTCACCTTAGGAGTTGCATCATCATGACCTAGTTTGCCTCCTGACACCAAAATGCGTGGGGGAGACCTACATAGTTCTCTCAGTCACATCATTTCATATGCCATGTGGGTGGCAGGATCAGTCCTTCTATTGGATACAGTGAAGCAGCCACCTCAGGCGGCAGATGCTGGGGGTGGCAGCAGCAGCAGATTTCCCTTCCCCTGCAGCTAGACCTCACTCTAGCTGCACAAGTTCATTTCTCATGGATAACTGCAGCAATAATAATAAAGATGGTGGGCAAATCATGTGCAGATCCAGAGCATATCATGTACCTAACAGCAAATATTAATCTCTGATCTCACTTCAGTTTGCTGGGTTTTGGGGATCATAGGGAGCTGCTTTCTCCCAGGTCAGACCATTTGTTCAACCAGCTCAGCATTGTCCACACTGAGCTCCCAGGCTTCCAGGCAGAGGATGCTTCTAGCCCTATTTTGAAGATGCCAGAGATTGAAACTACAGCCTTCTGTATGCAAAGCAGATGCTCTACTACTCTGCTGGGGCCCATATATTTGGTGCTATGGGAAAAGAAGGCTAACAGCATAGTATAGCAGATTGTGTTTGCTCTATCTACTGATATGAAAGAAAATGTTCTTTTAAAGCCAATTCTGTTCACATTCTGCAGCACTATGCAACCTGATTTGCTGCCTTAGGCATCAAAATGTGTTGGTCTGGCCCTGGTGGGTGACTACTACTGGCTAGGGCTGTTGCCAGGCTAGCTAAAAGCAGCAGTATTTGGAACCTACAGCTTTGTAACACTTCCCATCTTCCTGATAGCTCAGTTGGGTAGAGTGTGCTGCTGATAATGCCAAGGTCACAGGTTCGATCCCTGTATGGGACAGCTACATATTCCTGCATTGCAGGGGGTTGGACTAGACGATCCTCAGGATCCTTCCATGTCTACAATTCTATGATTCATCAGCAGTATTCCTCCTGGTTCATAATTCCTTGGCCCACTTCACCTTATAGAAGTCTACTATCCTTCTCAAGTATTACCAGCTCCCTTCAGAACCATCACAGGCAGACTCTTAAGAAGCCACAGGAATTGTCTGGTAGAAATATCACAGCTGAAGGAAGATGTCACCCAAAAATGATTCGGTTTCTGGCCAGAATAGATTCTTCCTATACATGCTATATGAAGAGCCCGCGTTTCTCTAAGGATGCCTATGAAGTACTGTCATTTTTTAAAACTCCTTTTAGTTCTCTGGCTGGATAATCCCTCTATGAGATTTACTTTGAAATATATGGGGCAGAATGTAATTATGATGATCATTTTAAATTTTTAATAGAATATTGTATAGCTTTCAGTACGGAGACGGCGTAAATGAATATGAATATTATTGCTTCATTCCAGAAATGGCTTTTTCCTCTTTCCCTACCAGTGCTTGCCTCCTTTAATTATTTCTCAATTACGCAATCGTACAGTAAGGCAAAATGAGATATCGGACTGCTACAGATAAGGATGTTTATTTATGAATTCCACAATAAAAAAAATATTTCTCTATTCCAATAGTCCAGACACAGCTGGTTTGCATAGGGTTTGCATCACAGCCTGATGGTATGCATCACAGCCTGATCCATAGGGAGGTACCACATTTAGATACCACTTTCTGATTATGTTGTTGGCATCTGACACATGTTGCTAAATACATAATGTCATAGACAAACACTTCCATGTAGACAAGGTATTTCGGTAGATAAGGCACCTGATGCCTTCTCTATGGTCTTTCTTGGCACCAGATAAAGGCCTTCTTATTATCCCAGGTATTTAAATGGCAGTTTAAATCCCTCAGGTGCACCTCCACCACTGGCAGGAGATGAGCAGCAGCCAGGACACCTGCAGAGCAGCTA